CGGCCGCCGCAGCAGCTGCTTCCCCCTTGCCCGCGCCCCGGGTTCAGGCTTCCATTGTCCCCACGCAGCCCCCCGCGCGCGCAGCGCCACACAAAAGGAAGGGCCGCTTGTGATGTCAGCAGCTCCTGCGGAGAGACGGCAGCAGGCTGGCCAGCTACAGGAAGGAAAAGCAGGTTGGATTTGGGAATGGAACAGGATCCGCAACGCCGCAGCAGCTGCTTCCCCCTTGCCCGCGCCCCGGGTTCAGGCTTCCATTGTCCCCACGCAGCCCCCCGCGCGCGCAGCGCCACACAAAAGGAAGGGCCGCTTGTGATGTCAGCAGCTCCTGCGGAGAGACGGCAGCAGGCTGGCCAGCTACAGGAAGGAAAAGCAGGTTGGATTTGGGAATGGAACAGGATCCGCAAAGGGGGAGCCTCCCAGCTGGGGCACCGCATTAAATAAAGTTGGGCCAGATGATGCTGCATCTCCAGTGGCTTCTTCTCCCCCCTCTCTCCTTCTTCTCCCCCCTGCAAAGCCTTTGCAGATGATCTTTTTGCTACCTGCACAGCCCTAAGAAAAAATAACACTGACTTCAAGAGTGATTCACTGTACTTCTCCCATGGTAAGAAGACAGCAGTCAGTCACTTTTCTATGGGCCAAGGCATAGTGCCATAGATCTAAATGGAAACGCTGCACCAGATTTATTTCTGTCCCTTCTTCCTCCCCCGTTGACTTCAGCAGGTTAATATAACCGCTGAATGTGGTTCAGTGCTTTTAGTTTCCAAATGTATATCAAGAGATGACCAGACAATAACTATGTGATATAGTGTAGTAGGCAGGAAAATGAAATCACCACTGTGCATCATAATCATTAGTATTACTTTGCATTTCTGGAGATATTTAAGAGTAGGTTAGATAAATGTCTATCAGGGATGGTCTAGACAGTATTTGGTCCTGCCATGAGGGCAGAGGACTGGACTCGATGACCTCTCAAGGTCCCTTCCAGTCCTAGTGTTCTATGATTTCTATCCTTCCTTGCAATGGAGGATCTCAAAGCAATCTACAAACAAATGATTACAACTGCACAACACACCTATCAAGTATGATGGGTATGATTATTCCCACCAATCTATGTTTTGTAAATCAAAACCCATCTGTCTAGTCTCCCAGGATTTTCTGGGATGCTCAACACTTGCAGCTCTCTTGACTTCCCATTGAGTTTGGATCA